AAGTAAAGAGCCACGGATTTTATCTTAATACCCTTATTCCCACTTTTTCCCTCTTTACCACTTTTTAATATGCCTTTCCTAGTGGTATTATCACTGGTCTGTTAAGCCAGAGACCCAACTAAAATTCTGGGGACCTGGGTTCAAATCCAGCCATGGCAGGTGGTGGATTATGAATTCAATAAAAATCTGGAATTAAGAGTCTAGTGATGACAGTGAATCCATCGGCATTTGTCAGAATCACTAATGTCCTTCAAGGAAGGAAATCTGCCATCCTTACCTGGTTATGGCCTAGATGCAACTCCAGACCCACAGCAACGTGGTTGACTCTCAACTGCCTTCTGGGCAATAGTGCTGGCCAAGCCAATGATACCACCATCCCATGAATGAATTTTAAAAATCTGTTCCTTCCTGTCCCACAATGGATATCACTGTCAAAATGGCTGCCCTGCGATGCCACCACATTCCTCTTGATTTGCAAGCCCACATTTCCTTCCTCCTAGAACCTGACCCTCCTCCAATTAGTTTAAAGCCAATTCTCAGTATGAACTATTCAATTGGACATTGGTCCTAGTACAGTTTAAGTGAAGACTGGCCATCCAGAATAGCTCCTTTCTACCCCAGTCCTGACAGCAGTTTCCAATGAACCAAAACCAATTACACCCATACCAATCTTGAAGCCATGTATTTAACTCTCACTTTATTTACATTATGCCAATTTGCCCATTGTTCAGGTAGTAATCTTGAGATCATCTTGAGTTAGAATTTTAATTTAGCTCCTAATTGTTCAAAATCTTCCAGCAAAACCTCGTTTCCAGTCCTATCAATGTGGTAGATGACTACTCGATTATTCCCTTTCCTCTCCAAATTCCTCCCCAGCCCCAAAAGAGAAAGAAACATAGAATTCAGGATCAGGAGTAGATCACTCAGCCCTTCGAACCTGCTCAGCCATTCAACATGACCATCGCTGATCATCCAAGATAGTACCTTCATCCCGACTCAGATATCGTGGACCTGGCAATAGAGCCTTCAGGACTCCCTCTTACAGTTGCATAGAATAGAATCTATGCACCAAAATATATAGTTTCCCACCACAACTACTTCCCTATTTCATCCCCCAACTTGAATGGCTCCCTGTACCATGGTGTTGCTACAGTCCTCACTCTCATGCACACAGGTTGCAAGAATCTCCATTCTGGTCTACAATTACAGGAACTTCGGATTGTCAAGAGTTGCTCCTTGGCTCCCAAAATCTGCCTCACCAACAATCACACCCTCCTGTCCTCGATCATAAATCAAGTTTGAATTACTTAATTTAAGTGGTGGACAATCAAAAACTAACAGGACCACATGCTCCATGAATAAACCCAAACTTGGTGGTAGAGCCAAGCACAGGGATACATAAGAAAAAACTGAAGCATTCACAGTCATCTTCAGTGAGAAGTATTGTGTAGATTATCAATCTTTGATTCTTCCAGAGGTCCCCAACATCCCAAATATCTGGTTTGCAGCTAATTAAATTCATTCCTTGGTATCAAGAAATTGGCAATTATCCCAGATACAGCAAATGAGAACTCCTGTTATTCAAGCTGCAGTACTGTAGATTTGTGCCCTGGCACCAGTCGAGCCTTAATCAAGTTGTCTCAATACAGCTACAAATTTTTTTTTTTTGTTTATTGCCAGAATTTATTGCTCATCCCCAATCACATCCAGGGGGCAGTTAAAAGTTAATCACATTGCTCTGGATCTTGAGTTACACCTAGGACAGATCAGGCAAGGACTGCAGATTTTCTTCTCTAAAGGACATGAGTTAACCAAATAAGTAACCAAATAAGACAACTGACAATGGCTATATAGTTACCACTGGGTCAGCTTTTTTCCCCCAGATTTTACTGAATTCAGATTTCACCTTCTGCCATGGCAGGAACAGAACCCACATCCCGGGGTTCAGCATTGATAGTCCAGTGACATTAGTACATGCTATCACCTCACCAAGTCTGGCATCTCATTGAAAAAGAAAACTGCCCAATATATCCTGTCCACAAAAGATAAAGAGAAATCCAAAATCTTTCAGTTGTTGTCCCATCAGCTGACTCTGAATCAAAGTGGAGGAAAATATCACTGACAGTGTTAATCAGAAATGACCTCCACAGCAATATTTGTCTGGCTTTCAATTAGACAATTGCCCCAGGCCTCATTATAACCTTAGTCCATATATGGACGAATGGGTTGAGTGGGTGGTCTTAGTGATTTTGCAGCTCCAACAACACTCAAAAAGCTTAATCCAACCCAAACAAAGTCCTTGAAGTGACTGGCACTCCATGCATCAGCTTAAACATCCATTCCATGCACCAGTGACACACTGTCAACAGTATATACCAACTAACAGGTACACTGCAGAAACTGACCAAAGACTCTTCCATGCTGCATCCCATATCAGCAAGCTCTACCCCTCAAAACCAAAAGCAGCATGCATGACAAGAACACTGCCTTTACGTCACAATGTATCTTGAAATGGGAAGACGTCAGTATTTCTTCATCATCGCTAGGTCAGAATCAGGGAACTCCTTACCAAAAAGACAGTGAGAGTGTACCATCACTATAAGGACTGCTGTTCAAGGATGCAGCTCACCTTCCCACTTGCAATCAGGCTTAGGCAATAAGTTATAACTACTGACAAGAAGATTTCATAACAGAGAATTCTTACCCTCCTGGCTTAGTTTTCTGGCTCCTTATCTCAAGGCCATTAAACCCTGCTACTGAAAACATAAAACCTGATCCATAAACAGCCAGTTTCAAACTAGGAATAAAAGCAAAGTACAGCAGATGCTGGAAATCTAAAATAAGGAGTGCTTGAGAAACTCAGCTGGTTTGTCAGCATTTGTAGACAGAGAAAAGAAGAGTTAACTTTTCAAGTTCAATGTGATTCTTATATTGGACTCTAAACGCTAACTTAAAATTTTGCTCTCCACAAAACCTTAGTTTCTCCAGCACTGTTTGTACTTCAAACTAACATCTGATTCACTTTGTTACATACACAACTGAAAGACTTGTTTGTTTTTATAAGCAAACAGGATCACCGTGTCAAAAATCACCATTGTGGAATCAGATCTCTTTCATCAGGAGTTTACATCAACATTACTTCAGTTTTGTAACTGTAATTTTAAAAATATGGCTTATAATAAATAAAGATCCCAGTACTGCAGAATCAGAAGTTTTGGTTTAAAAACACTTTGGCAAAACTGTGTCACACAAGAGTTTAACTGTACGTTTTAAATTCAATTTTGTATTTTACACTTATTTATACAAAAAAGGGAACAACTGACATCCAGATTTAAAAATCTCACTTCCAAAGTCCTTCATCTTTCCAATTTCCACACTTTCTATGTGTTAAAAGATCAAAATATTGCATTTTGTATGCTTATAAATGCTGTACACCACAAGTGGCAAATTCTGCATTTTTTTTATATTACATACAGGAAATGGAAACACCTACAGCCGTGGCAAGAATATTTGCAAGGATAATAATGAGCCCTCCATAACAACTGCCAGGAATGACTGGATATTCTAAGGTTCCCTTCTCTTTAAAATCGAGATCCTTGAATTTATGCTAGAGTTTCATAGGTATAAATAAAGGCGATTCCATTTTTGGAGATTCTAAAAGAAGAATTAGAAGGATAACATAATTTACCATATATCCAGGTGGAAATGCAGGAAAATTTTATTTACACAGAGTAGCTGGAACGTGGAACAGTTGAAGTGGTTAAGGCTAACAGCATGGATGTCTTTAAAGGAAAGCTACACTTATGAACATGTGAACAGGTGGAAAAGAATAGAACATATGCTGGTAGAGTTGGGAGGAGTTGAGTGGCAGGAGGCTTGAGTGAATATAGACAATGGCACAAAACAGCTTGTTTCTGTGCTGTGAACTGTGTAGGATTCCATGCAAAAATGTGAACTATTTCAATAAAAGCAAACAGCAGAATTTTGTAAGTCAATTTGTATTTTTCAATAAGCAGAGACTTTCAAACCAAAGTATTCCACATTGTTAAAAAAAAAGTGTTTTCTTAAATGCAAATGTCCTCAATGGCTTGCAACATTTTTCTGCATTATGTTAGTGAGTTAATACTTACAAAATTTTAAAAAGCTGACATTAAAGACAAATTTTAGTATTTGAACATAATCATAATGGCATAATGTAACTGGCTTTAGAAAAGGGAGAATGAAGAATTACCTCATTGAAGATACTGATTTATTATACAAAACATCTAAATAAAGGAGACAGCAAAGCCTCCTTGACACCAATAATCCTTTTAACAGCTCAGAAATGAATATTGCTGAAATTTACCAGAACTTAATCACAAAGCATACAATAGTAGAATAGTCAGGAGTACTCCTATCATTTTCATGCTTTTCAGTGACTATTAGCTTAATACAATGGACGACACATATATATTTTCAAACCAAGATGAAAAATTTCCAATATATAAGAATATGGTACCGCAAGCACTTAATTTCAGTGTAACCATCAATCACAACATGCTTTTTCCATCTGACAACATTCTGAATTTAGAACTGCTGCTGGTTTAACGAATAAGCTTAAACATTCATTTTCTGGAAATTAATTCAAGTTGATCAAGTTTATGTTCCATCAGAAACTTATCTTAAAAGTCAAAAGTATGTTACTTTTTTTCCAAGTGAACGGAAATGTGTTTTGGAAATTTGCCGGTAGCCCATACCGTCTTCCAGTCTTAAATGTTCAGCCTAGCAGTGTTCAATTTAAGTCAGCACCAACACATGTCATAGCAGCAGCCATCGATTAAAAAAAATGATATTTTTAAACCATCACAACTTTGTCCAAAATTACAGCTGAATTAAACTATCACGTTTTGGAGGAACCAATCTGGTGTACTACATTTTAAAATTCACTCTGGTTAACATGTAAAACCAAAAGGTTTCTTTATTATAAAAAAACTGTAAAATTTGCAATTGCAATCATTTACCTTATTGTACTCATACTTGTACTGTATTTTGAGTGTATCCATTGCTCTGATCATAGCCTGCATGGCAGTGAAGATATTCTGATAAACCAGTTTTGTGAAGCCTCGTTTGTCCTCATCAGAGTACCCTGTACCATGAATGATTCGCATCTGTTTGATGAATGTGCTCTTGCCACTTTCTCCTGTGCCTGAGAAAACAAAACAAGTATAGGGTCAACAATATTGATTTCTACCTGACAAAGGGTCATAACAATTAGAAGGTATTAAACAAACAAAACAAAATTAAATCAATGGTTAAAGCCAATTATAAGAAAATAAATGAACACATTCTGCTTTTCTATGAAGATAACGATTTCTTAAAAGTGTGTTAAGCTACCTTTGAGTTTTGAATGACAAAACCATCAAAATCTTTTCCACATGAATGTGTATGGAGAGTTTATTTTAATCATTTTAAGTCTACCATGTATGTTAATTTATGGCATTCATTATAGTTGTGCCAGCTTCTTGAAATGAATAGATTATTAAAATCCCTGAATTTTTAAGCTTGTCATTATTTTAGTAAATATTGATAAACTATTCATCTGTTGGGATTTTTATACCTATAAATACACATTTTAATCTTCTAAATGTAAAAACTCAAAACCTAGACATTTAATAGTATTGCCGTCATGCAATCTCCCACTATCAATATCCTAGGGGTTATCATTGACCAGAAACTGAACCGGACTTCAAAAGAATCAGAATCCCTACAGTGTGGAAACAGGCTCTTCAGCCCAACAAGTCCACACTGACCCTCCGAAGAGCACCCTACCCCGTAACTGTGCATTTCCCATGGTTAACGCACTTAATCTACATATCCCTGAACACGATGGACAATTTAGCATGGCCAATCCACCTAGTCTTTGGACTGTGGGAGGAAACAGAAACACCAGGCAGAAACCCACGCAGACACAGGGAGAATGTGTAAACTCCACACAGACAGTCGCCCAAGGGTAGAATCGAACCCTGGTGCTGTGAGGCAGCAGTGCTAACCAGTGAGCCACCATGCTGCCCTTGGATCTCTGTACTCCATGATCAGTCTTTTCGCCATTTGATCTTTGACACTAAGTTCTGATGAAGACAAAGATTTTGTTTATAGTTTTGCATTTCTTTACTTCTTGAGCTTAATAATAATCCAAAGAGTAATTTTATAAAAACCATGACCCAATTTGGGAACATGCAGGTTTTGTTTGATTTGACTGCGATACAAATACTATGGCTACAACAGCAAGTCAGAGATTAGGAATCCAGGAACAGATAACTCACCTAACTCCCCAAAGCTGGTCTACCAACCACATGGCATTGGTCTGAAGTCTAGTGAACATTATCACAGTTCCCAGCCAAATGGAAAATGTAAACAGAATTGTTCTCAGCATCAAATAAAACCGCCATGCTCCCAAATTGGGTCACAGTTTTTTTTAATAAAATTATGCTTTGGATTATTAAAAAGCTCAAGTAGTAAAGAAATGCAGGACTATAAACAAAAGCTGTGTCTTCATCAGAACTTAGTGTCAAAGATCAAATGGAGAAAAGACTGATTGTGGAGTACAGAGGTAACTGTACTTTTTTTTTGGTAGCACCCTGCTTCCGTCCTTTGGACATTTATATCCTATATTAGGGGCAATGGCCTAGTGATATTATCGCTGGACTGTTAATCCAGAGACCCAGATAATGTTCTGGAGGCCTGGGTTTGAATCCCACCACGGTAGATGGTGGAATTTAAATTCAATAAACATCTGCAATTAAGAATCTAATGATGACCACGAATCCATTAGCCACTGTCAATTGTCAGAAAAACCCATCAGGTTCACCAGTGTCCTTTGGGGAAGGAAACTGCCATCCTTACCTGGTCTGGCCTACATGTGATTACAGACCCACAGCAATGTGGTTGACTCTTAACTGCCCTCTGGGCAGTTAGGGATGGACAATAAATACTGCCGAGCCAGTGACACCCTCAAGCTGTGAATGAATAAAGAAAAAATAATTCACCTTCCTCCCTTTTCTAGAGGTCTATATTTTGTTGTCCCATTGAAAACAGAGGGGGTCAATCATACTGGTTTCAAAAACTTGGAAAAACTGCAAAGGTAAGTTTAAAATATTCACTGAAAACAAAATATGCTGGAAATGACAGGGGGTCAGGCAGCAACCGTAGAGAGAGAGCAAGCTAATGTTTCGAGTCTAGATGACTCTTCATCAGAGCTGACGTGAAGTGTCCAGTATCTGCAATAACTTGGACCTACATCGTGTTTAAAATATTCATGTCCGTCTTCAGCCACATGGAAATAGCTAAAATAGATAAATAGTTCAAATAGACAAAGCCTTCAAGAATTTTTACTTCATTCAGCAAATGGGGGCCTATTGTGGGATAGTCTTGGCATGGTCTGTATGTTTGAATGCCTGACAGTTTCAAGAAATGACCATCAGACCTCTCAGAGCAGTTTCTGATGCAAAAGTAAATTATCAGTCTTCTTCCTTCTCACTTTCCTGTCATTGTTCCAGGCTTGACTCCCTCTTGGATCAGTCCACAACTGTCTTTCAGCCTTTTCCAAGGGTTGATAAAGCAACCAAGTGATCCTTCCTTATAAGCAGAAACTATAAATGTCCTTGTGTCCAATCCCACCAAATTTCTCAACAACATGTTGACTTCGAGTTAAAAATCTTGCCAACCTTGATTCCATCCTTTTCACCTTAACATGACTAAAATAAAGTATAATTGCAAAATCCCCAGAATGATTTTACATCCAAAGTATCGCCACCTGAAGTCACAGTTACAGCATTCTTTGCTTAATTGCATCAATTCTGCTTTTTGTCATAAATCTCTGCTAACATAAAGTCACTGGAGTGGATGATACATCCCTTCAAGCATGTCTTTCAATACGTTTGTTACTGATTTGTCTGAAATCCTTTCCCATCTGCCGCTTATATTCTTTGAGAGACCAAAGCCTATCCATGTTAGCCTGGAATATACTCAATGAAGTATCTACATTTGGGGTAGAGATTTCCAGATTTTTGCTGAGTATACAAAGATAGGTAGAAAAATAAGTTGTGAAGAGGACACAAGGTAGTGAAGAGAATGAGCAACAATCTGGCAAATGGAATCCATTTGGGCAGGAAGAATAAAAAAAACATATAATCTAACTGGTGAGAGATTCCAGAGCTCTGACATGCAGACAGTCCTGGGTGTCCTTTTGTATGAATCACAAAGGCTAGAACATAGATACAACATGTAATTAGGGAAATAACCAAAATGTTATTTGTTTATTGCGAGGAATCTTAAAAATTACCCTTCAGCTATACAGGGCACTGGAACGCAATATACTGCATTGATCTCCTTAAGCAGGGATATATGCAACAATGGAAGTAGTTAGGAGACATTTTTCCAGACTAATACCTGGAATGGGCAGGGTTTCTTTTTAAATGAAGAAAGGTTTCACAGATTAGGCTTGTATTCACTGGGATTTAGGACAGGTGACTTGTTTCTAAGATTCAATATTGTGAGAAGTCTTGACAATGATTTAGCTCTTCTGGAAAAATCTAGAACTGGGGATCACAATTTAAGAAAGATGAGGGGAATTTGTTTTCTCCAAGAGGATTGGGTGTCTTTGGCAACACAGTATGGAGCTGGAGGAACACAGCAGGAAAAGAAAACCTCAGCAAAAGGAGTCTTCGGAACTCTTTTCACTAAAATGTAGTGAAGCAGCATTTTGAATTTTTTTTTAGGGCAGAGGTGGACAGGTCTTTGGTATACAAGGGTGAAAGGCTACAGTAGATTGTTAAAGTTGCAATTAGACCAGCCATGACCTCATTAAGGGACAGAGCAGGGTGAAGCGCCCAGCCAAACAGTCCCTTCCTGTTCCTAACTCATCTTTGTATGAAAAGGAATAGTTTTCTCTCTTCTTGATGTCCTTAGTTCAAGAACTTGCTCTCCATAAAGAACTGTTAGATTTTAAAGCATCACTCATGTTTTTCCTTACATCTGAATAAAGTTATAGCTGCAATTGAAAAATAAAATAGTGCAAGTTTCACATGTTTGTCAATGTTTAGTTTTTTTTTATTGTAGTTAAGTATGTGGAAGCAGCAGTTGCCCAACATTGTAACATGTGTCAGGAAATTGCAACATGTTCTAAAAGGCCATTTTTAGTCAATTATTTAAACACTCCAAAGAATAAAACAAAAGTATCTGATGATACACGAAACAAAACTCATTTTTGCCTTGGATTTTGCAAGTCATGACCGCAAGAAGTACACATCCTACCAAATTAAAAATGTTAATTTAGGTTTTATGCAACACCTCCTGAGAGATTAAATTATTTGCAATTGTCACTTAGGAGTCTGAACACAAATTCAACTTTGGACTATTGGTATTTAAATGATCTAATGAATAAGGTCCAATACTCATTATTAACCACTACTTATATTTATGGAATTACCTTGAATGGGTCAATTCACTAGTACAAAAGGTTTTTGCAGTGGCAAACATACAGTATTCAAAACTCACATCTTGCATATACAGTTGTTGCAAACTGGAGACTGCAGTGGCCGCTAAAGTCATTAGTCATCTAACAAATGACCAGCAAGGTAATGTAAAATACTAAAAAGGCAGAGTGAACTGTATAAATATCCACAAGCGACTCAAGAAGGCTCCAAATTATAATGAAGACAACTGCTATATTCTCATGCCTTCATTATTACTTGGAGTCAGAGTTCAACAACAGAGAAAGGCTCTTCAGCCCATCAAGTCTTGCTGGTCAGAAATAAACACCTATTTATTCTAATCCCATTTTCCAGCACGTGGCCTATAGCCTTGTATGCGTAGACATCACAAATGCACATCTAAATACTTCTAAAATGCTTTTTACAGGCAGTGCATTCCAGATTCCCAATACCCTCTAGGTCAAAACATTTTTCTTCATCTGCTTTAAACCTCCTGCCCCCAACCTTAAAATTACGCCTGCAGTCATTGATTCCTCCCCAGAGAGGAAAGACTCCTACCCTTGATTCTACTATTTGAGTATGACTGGATTTAATTAGTTGTAATCCTCTAACCAACTCTTCTTTGCATCATTCAAAGCTCTATTGCAAGTCTAGTCTATAAAACATTCCAATCTGGGTTCTCAAAAGTCATTTGCAGCCCAATCATTATTATGCA